GCGCGGCTGGGGCGGGCTCCCACCGGGGGCTGGGCCCCGGGGGCAGGAGGAAGGGGGCTGGGACTGGCTGATGCTGCCGGTGGGCCCCGGGCGTTTCCTTTCCCCGGGACGGGGCGGTGCCCTGGGCTGATCCCAGCTCTGGTGCTTTATGCTCAACGTCCCCTCCATGCGGCGCCTGCTGGAAGGACGGTTCCTCTTCGCTGCCAGGCCTGAATGATGGTGCTGGCATTGCGGGCTGCTGCCGTGCCCCGCCCCAGAGGTGGCTGCAAGTCAGGGCCGGGCAGGGGAGCCCTGTCGACGGTCCCTGTGCCCCGCCCCAGAGGTGGCTCCACGCAGGAATCCCGTGCGGTTTGGGCCAGTGACTGACCTCTTGTCCCTGACCCATTTGCTTGCTCCTCAGGACCCGGCTCCCACCAAGAGGAAGTTTGAGTTCAGCAAGGAGAATGCAGCCCCTGCTCGGAAACCGGACCCCAAGGCCTCTCACCCCGCCCAGCCAACACCCAAGAAGCCCAAAGGTGAGACGGCTGGCGGGGCCCCCGGGGGGCTGTTGTGAGCCCCCTGGCTCGTGCCGGGGCAAGTCTCAGCGCACTTCTGCCTCCTCCCAGAAAATGGACTTGGTGCTGGTGCCTCCGAAATCCCACGGCAGTTTCTACGAGGGCGACTGCTACGTCCTGCTCTCGGTGAGTGGCCCCAGCCCGGGGCCCCTGCCACCTCGTGCCGGCTCCTGTGTGGGGCGGGGCCCCTGTGGCTGGACCCCAGCGAAGCAGACAAATCCCGACAGGCCGGGAACCGACACTGGAATCGGAGTGATGGGCCCTGGGTCTCTGCTTGAACCCTGACAGGCGTGGGGTGCACAAGCGGATCGGGGGGGGGGGCTGCTTTGCCAGGCTGACTGGCCCATTTCCTCCCTCTGCTTCCCTCTGCCCTGGAGAGCTGCGGAGAAGGCCAAAGGCCATGCAAGGAGGGGAGGAGAGGGAGGGGCAGGTAGCTTTGCAGCAATAGGATGACCAAAGGAAATGCCCTGTGCGACGGTCTGTTAGTCTGCGGAACTCCCTGCCACATGATTTGGGGGCTGGTTAGGATTCGTGGCATGAGTGAGGATTCAGCACGGAGGGTTTGTTCCTGTCTGCGGGCAGGCGCTGACCAGCCGATCTCTGGCTGGGGGTTCAGGTGGCGAGGTGTCAGGGAGAAATCCCTCCTGCCCCACGCAGTGCAGAGCTGGGATCCAGGCATGGCAGGCCGGATGCTGGTCTGAGCGGTGGGGCAGAGGCAGGGCTCTCTCCTCCGGCTCTGTCCCTGCTCTCGGGCAGCGGCGTGGCCTACGACATCCATTACTGGGTCGGGGAGGGCTCCTCGCGGGACGAACAGGGCTGCGCCGCCATCTACACCACCCAGCTGGACGACTACCTGGGCGGGGTCCCCGTGCAGCACCGGGAGGTGCAGCGCCACGAGTCGGACCTCTTCATGAGTAGGTGGCCGAGGGGCCCTGGTCTCTAGTGGGTCTGACCCTCTGCTCCACGGGGCGCCGGCTACCCACCCCGTGGGGGCGTCCCGGGCCTCAGGGCAGCACACCCTGCCCCCACGTGGGGGCATCAGCCGGCAAGCGGTGCCAGGAGCCATGGGCACGGCTGACGGGGCCGTGCTTGTTGGGGTGAGGAGGGGGCTGTTGTCCGCATCCACGTCCGCCCTTCCTGCCCAGCGCCGTCCCTGCCCCGCTCACCCGCCGCCCGCTCCTCTCACCCAGCTACAAGAAGGGCGGCGTGGCCTCCGGGATGACGCACGTGGAGACCAACGTCTACAACGTCAAACGCCTGCTGCACGTCAAGGGCAAACGGACCGTCACAGCCACCGAGGTGAGTCTGGGGCCCGCAGCTGAGCTGGTCCGCCCTTCCTGCCCAGCGCCGTCCCTGCCCCGCTCACCCGCCGCCCGCTCCTCTCACCCAGCTACAAGAAGGGCGGCGTGGCCTCCGGGATGACGCACGTGGAGACCAACGTCTACAACGTCAAACGCCTGCTGCACGTCAAGGGCAAACGGACCGTCACAGCCACCGAGGTGAGTCTGGGGCCCGCAGCTGAGCTGGCCCGGGCCTGGGTCACCACCTGGCTCGCGCCAGGCACTAACCCGAACCCTGTAACCCTAACCCGAAAGGAGAGCTTAAGAAAACAGGGACTTTTCAGCTTAGAAAAGAGGAGACGAAGGGGCGATCGGAGAGAGGTCGATGAAATCGTCACCAGTGTGGAGAAAGCGAAGAAGGGGAAGTTATTTACGTGTTCCCATCACATAAGAACGAGGGGTCACCAAAGGAAATGATTAGGCAGCAGGTTTAAAACAAACCAAAGGACGTTTTTCGTCGCGCACCGCACAGTCAACCTGTGGAACTCCTCGCCGGAGGATGTTGTGAAGACCAGAACTTTAACAGGGTTCGGGAAAGAAATAGATAAATTCATGGAGGTTGGGTTCATCAATGGCTGCTATTAGCCGGGATGGGCAGGGATGCCGAGCATAACCTCTGTCGGTCACACACCAATTCCCGGATCCCTCCCTCTGGGGCACCTGGCATTGCACAGGACTCTGGGCTGGATGGACCTTGGGTCTGTTCCTGGCACACCCGGTACCATTTCTTCCTGCCCTGAGGCCGGTGCCCCTGCTGCCTTGGCGCTGGCCCAGTCCCTGCCTCCACCCTCCCAGCATCCGCAGCCTGGCAGCTGCCCCCTGCCCCCGATCCTGCACTGGCATCCTCAGCGCCTCCTCTTGGCTCCCGGGTGCAGGTGGAGCTGAGCTGGGAGAGCTTCAACCTGGGCGACGTGTTCCTGCTGGACCTGGGCAAAGCCATTCTCCAGTGGAACGGCCCCGAGAGCAACACCAGGGAGCGGCTGAAGGTAGGAACCGGACCCAGGCTGCCCCCCTGCTCCCTCCGCTGCAGGGCAGAATCCCCCTCCCCCTGCTTCTGGCCTGGACCCAGGACCCCGCAGCCCCTTCCCCAGGCCAGTTCTCACCCCTCTCTCTGGAGACCCAGGCTGGGGGTAGGAGGGTCCTTCCCCATCCCCATCCCCTTCCCAGCGGTTC